TGCACTCAAAAGAAGTTTCTATAAGCAGACCTCAGTATATATATTTCTTCTGAATTGTTTAAGCTTGTCAAGAAGATAGTTGAAAGTTTTCTTCGGTGAGGGTGTAAGACAAAATGAAATTCATAACTTACTCTAGATTCAAAGACAGTCCAATTGTTATCTGCAGAAAAAGCTTGAGAAAAAATGTTTATTTTTTTTCGAATTCAAAAAACTCAAAAGTTTGAGATTTCAGTTGATTATTAATAATTGTTTTCCATAATATTCAGATGTAATAACTTGCATTGTTAGGATCATGATCTTTTCTAGTAAAAGATGATTTTGTGTAAGTATACATGTCTCCAATTTCATATTTACAAGTTACAATGCTTTAAAGTTTACATTTCCAAGTCATGTTGAAATGTCCTGGTTTCCTGCCTCTGGTGCCGGTGCTTCCACGGTACTAGTAATGGCCGTTTGTGGCTGTAGTGGGTCGTTAATACAACATTCATCCAAACTGCACGAAAAATTCATTTCCATCCCTAGGGATACAACTAATGGCTTTGTAAGCAGAGATGGTTGGAAACTATAAAGGCAGTCAGGGATTGTGTTTTCATACTGATGGTTTAGTATTTCTGCTATGGTGTGGTTGGTTGTATAGTGATCAATGTATAAGCATTGATTATAACCATACAATACCTGCCCTGTATATAGGTCAAGCTGGAGAATTAATTAATCACCTTCTTCATGTCTGTATAGTATATATATAAACAGCAGCTGTAAAACCTATGGACATAAAGCCCCTTGTCAGGGTACAGTAAAAATTCAATATAATGCCCCTTACTTCATTTGCCATCTCACTTCAGCCGTCAACATGTTTCTCAGATTCTCTTTTCCTTCACAATTCCTCCTTCAATAAATGTCTGGACAAATTTTCCAAGATTATACGTGACAATTATTAAAATGAAACTTTCTGGTTGTGAAACGGCCAACTTTTAATTTTTGAGATTCAAGATGGCTGCCAAGGCATCGGGCTGGCTGATGAGCCATTTTGAAAACTTAAGTGGTGGAGCGGCTGGGTATTAGTATGCAAATGGCTTTCAGCTCTTGTTTAATTTTGTGTTATAGGAGAAACATAATATCAAACTTGTGTCCGATTGTAATTAATATCCATCCTCTTTGAGGTATAAGTTTTCTCTGAAGCTGGTACATTGTAGACTGTACGTACATAAAGAGAAGGCAAGCCATGTAAATTATAGCTGTATGTATGATTTAATTTTTATATTAGGTCATCTTTAAACTATTACTGCTACTACTACTAGCGCTTGTATTTTTAAACTGACCTTAGCTAGTTTTATCAGATGCAAAACACTGCCATGAAAAATGCTAAAAACACATCAGGAGGTTTCAACTAGTTTTACACAAAACAATTGTAATGGATCTGCTTCCTATTGGCGACATTTGTGTTTACCACCCATCTCATGGGAGCAGTAAAAGGAACATGTGGGTACTAAATTTAGATGACCGGTATTTTCGTTATTCCGTGTACTTCAATGTAAAAATTGTCAATTCTGTCGAGCTGCGTCGAACTTCTGAGTAGGTGGATATTTTACACTAATCACAAACCTGAGGGGCAGAGTTTGAATTCATTGCTTTACAGATTCTATATCATTGTCCACTAAATTTTAATTAAGGGAGAAGAGTTTTTTCGATGCTGTAGCTTGGCTTGCCTAACCATAATTAGAGTAATTCTGAAACGAAACCCAGAGTCTGGACTAATTAGAACTGTATTGAACCGGTATCAATGCAGATGTGACACTGTCCTTACGGGTCGAGGGCCCAAAACCATCAATGTGAAAATTTCGTCGCTTGTTTTGGCTTGGTCTTCAAATAGCATGAAATGCCTTCAAGAACCAATTTTCAGGTTGCATGCAAGTTTCCGTCAGTTAATTTGGTACTCTAGGAAGTGTTGAGAGTGTAGATGACTGTAAGGTGGGTTGTTGCGCCTGTTCTTCAATGATCGGTGAGGCTATCGTTGGATGCTTACCAAGGAAAACTTGGTGTCTCAATGCAAAACAACAGTGGTATAAAAATAAGCCATCAGTATCATGATGATTTTAGTCTCTGCCCCTGAATTGGAAAAACAGTAAAAATATCATTGCTGGCTGAAATGTTTTTATGGGTGATGTAAATAAAGTGTCTGGCATATTAGCTGTCATTCCGGTGTGTTGTGATGGGCAGGTTGTCTGCCAGGTATATCACTGTTAAGCTTATATTAAGGTGTTTGTGAAGAGTAGAGGGTATAATATAGTTATAGGGAAGGCTGAAACAGAAACAGCTGATGCATCAAAAAAGCATTTGCTATGGTTGGTACTAAAAGTTTCATTTTTTTCATTAATTTTGTACGGATGACATTATATAGGATAGATGTTTTTGTGCATGTGTGAAGTTGCGGATTACATACGTGTATATTTAAATCTGTTCTGACCCTTATAGATAATACATCATGTATGTCAATGTTACAAAGGAGGAAAATTTGAAACATGAAACACTTAAAATTTAATTTTGAATAAATACATTTGAAAATCAACTTGTAATACATATACATGTGTATATAGACAATTGGCAAAATTTAAATATAAACAGATTTCTGTTTCGATGTATAGCTAGCAATGCTTAACTTAAATCAATTTGAAAAATGCATTTACATTATGTAATATCATTACTTGTAGTGCAATGGATGAGCTTTAAGGAAGAAAGTAGTACATGTACATGTATGTGTCGCGTAGGTATGTTGGTAGGTTAAAATCATAAAAGATTGAAGGATTAATCTCTATAGCAGAGATATTTTTGATGAAAAAAATTAATTAAATTAAAAAGATCTTTAGGAAAAATCCTTGTATAGTAAATGGGTAAAGCAATTCCAAGTCAACAAAATGCCAAACAAATTAGAACTCTTCTTTGTTAGAGGTACAACACAGAACACTTGGAATTGACACATTAAACTGTTGCCATGTCTTTGCATGGAAAACCAAACTAAAATATATAGGATTTGATACTGTTTTATAATAAATAACACAGCAGATGTGCTGCGGAGGTGACAAGTCTGCTTACAGTTGTTAGTTCTAAATGTACATATATACCATACAGTGATATTTCTTTGCTAGTTATGGTTGCAGTTTCTACCCATAAACAAAAGAGTGATGTCAACTGGGGCCACATACTGTTGTTATGCCCCTCATATAAAAATGGATGGAGGGGGAAGCATGTAGTGCTAGTCATGTCCTTCCCATTGCGATTCATTGTAAACGCTCTACCAACTTCATTTCTGGACTGATTTTCATCAGAACATTTTATAAAGGTCAAATATTAGAATACCTGGATGAATTCATATTTCAAATCCCAAGGTCAATACCAAGGTCACTGTTGCTATTTATGGGTTAACCTTTGCTAATTTGTCAACAGATTCATCGTCATCAGTTTATAGGTTTCATTGTCAGGGAGCTGGGGATGGGTGGCATTCTGGTTTTACAGATGTTTTCTAGTTTGCACTGTTGTATGTAGATTACCAAAAGGATAGTAGAATCCCTGGTAATATTGCTTTCCAATGATGCAGTTTTTGTTGTAATATATCTTATTGGCTATATATTGCCTGAACTATTTTGTCGAAGATTACATAGACTAAACAATAAGGGTGTGCATGTGTCTGGAGTCTGCCCATTGTTTAACCAGACTTGCTGATCTGAAATGATGCGAGTCTGGGCTGCAGACAAGGGGAGGTGGAAGGAGGGGCGGGTCACAGTGTTAATGGACAGTTATGTAACCTCAGATTTCTGTCTTGGGTGTAGAACACCTGGCTGATTGTCTGCCAAGCATTGTCAGTTTATTTTGTAATTATGTATGCTTTAAAATTAACACCAATCAAATGATTTAACCCCCAAAAATTGTATGATTATTTGAGTTTGATTTCGTAAAATATTCCAATAGTATTAATTAATTGCAGAAGTCGAGTATGGTTAGCTTTTAATGAAATTTTGATGAATTATGATGTATGAAAGTGGGGCTGCTTAAGCTAACAAGGTACACAATGAATTGTAGTAGACTTGTAGACTTTCTCTACATTCCTTGTTGTAGAGCCAGCCCAGACTGTTAGCTTTATCATCAGTCCTTATCTCCCGAATGTTAGACCTAGTCTTAGTGTTGAACACAAAGCACACTTATATCGTATTATAACTGTAGAAGCCAGGCAAAATAACAGTAAAAGGCTTTTATCAAGTTCATTAATAATTTATAAACCCAACAAGATATTGAAATTAAGTACAGCAATGTTGACTACATACATATGGTAATCTTTCAGCAACATTATAACTTACGAGATGCCAGATTGAATTATAACTGGTAGTGAAATATTTTTTATCAAGTTCATTGAACATGAATATTTATATAAAAAGCAAGGTTGAATTGAAGTGTGCCTACAAACATTCTTGTACGTTTTTTAGTGGGCACACATTTTAGTGTACTCTTAAATTCTAACAGATATGGGCATTGGTGAATTAGTGCACTCACAAAAAATGCAATTGAAAACGATGTACAGAAACATGAATTAGCGTGATGATTAATTAATAAGCGAGATAAGTTAGCACAATGTGTTAACCCTTTCACCCCTATGTAACTTTATAATTAGTAGAATTGATCATGCATTGATATGGATGAGTCCATTACAGTCTACAGTGGTGAAAGGGTTAAGTGCAAAAAGCTCTAAAATTAGGACACCGCTAAAATGTCTATGCGTTATGTTTATGAAGGGTTCCATAGCTATTTCCTCATTCTCATATGATGGGGATGTTTTAATGATTGGTTAATTGCTTGGGATGCAAAGAAAGGAAAGCATCAGTAATCAATTATATCATTCTGAACTGAAAAGTTCCGTTGACTGCTAATAGAAGGGAGTACTGGCTTCTTCGTTGCAATAACGTTTTTGTCTTTGTATAGTGATTTACATATATACATGTTTTGTTTTTTAGGTACAATACGCACAGGTCAGGTACTCGATCGTGAGACAGCACCCCACTATTGGCTTACTGTATATGCCCAAGAACATGCCCCCGTACCCCAGCACGCCCGCCTTGAGGTCTTCATCAAGGTCATAGAGGTCAATGACAACATTCCACAATTTCGTAACCCAGTCACCTACATGGCCATCATGGAGAACTCTCCGGCAGGTCTGATGGTTGGCAACGTCACTGCACATGACAACGACAACAATCCCACAGAGAAGCTAACCTATAGCATCACCAAGGGCAACACTGGGCAGTACTTTTCCATCAACAGATCGACAGGTAAGTTCAAAGGTCAGCGATATCTAAAATGACCTCTGACTGATGATGTGATCATGACTATCGCTTTCCTTGCATTTCAGATGGCAGAAAAAACTTGTAAAATATATTGGACAAACAAAAATACATGGTAACAACTTTTCATTATGGGTTGGAAAGGTTTAACAGAGGCAATATTCAATAGTTAGCTTAAAAGAATATAGATATCTCAATAGTTGCTTTTTAAGCATACAATTACATTAATTGGTCCTCCTGCCCTAAAAATTAAATAGGAATGTTCAATTTTATTTAGATATGTATTCTGGATATATTTTTGCAACTTTAGGTTGATGATTATCATTGTACCCGAATTTCGGGGTTAGATGGCCAGGAATAGTGGGGACAATAGGGGATTACAACACAGGGAAGAGGGATGCAGCCTAAGCCAATTGATAGTCTCCATACTTTCCTTTAACTCATTCACCCCTGACATTATAATGAACTATTCCAACCTTTGAATTGGAAGAGTTCAAATGTGTCTTTAGGGGTGAATGAGTTAAATTGCAATATCAGTTGCATCCTATTAAACTGCCATATCAGTGGAGAATCTGTATAGGAAGAAAAAAAACAAGTGCAAACTTGATAGGAAATTTCGCTGGATCTTAAATCTGAGAAATTACAATATGAAAATGATTTGTCGAGGAATTTTTATCTTCTTGTAATCTTTTGATGGACCTATTGGCCATGGACACAGTTTAAAAACTCACAAAATTCTGACATGACAATTTTTTTCTTTTTTTCTTGTCAACAGTATGAGGTTGTTTTCATTGTTTTTATTGGTCAATAATTGGCCATGAACATGACATGTCTTGATAATTATAAGGACACATGCCGAGAAACCTGTCAAATTAATGTTTTTATGACCCGGTAGAGAAGTTTGAACTGTTGTACACAGTTGTAAAATTAGCCGAGCTGAGTTTTATGTGTTAGTTGATTGAAATTTACAACATGAATTGGACAAATTATCGGCAAAAGAAAACAAGCGAAAAAATGCAACATCTGGCATCTGCGAATATGTTTTTTTACAAGTACATGTACATAGCTAGAATCTCAGTTTAAGCCCTGAACCATCTGTAGTAATCACATGTACCGTAGGTTGCCGTGTATCTATAAAACCTGACACATTAAATGTTACCCATCCTTATTTATCAACAGAATTGTCCTTTACCTACATAAAAACTCTGTATGAGATCTGAGGCTCACAAGAACGTGGCACCAGATAAGATAAACTATCCTTTCTATTGGAAAGTGCTGCAGTTGCTGGCAATGAGATCCTCGCTAGATTGTGTGCCGTGATAGATATGTATGCCGCACTGGATACAAATTTCCTCATCATTTCTTTTGTAGATATGCCATAACATGAAATTGATTTCAGAAATTAGAAATCGGAGTAATGAAACCATACACCATTAGGTAATTTTGTCCCAGAAACAGATAAGAGAAATTGGTTATTGAAGCCTCCAGTAACAGAATTATGTGGTTATTGTACTGGGCAATGGTTTTGTGTTGCATTGAATTCTGGCAAGGTGCGATACACATTACATGTGGAGGAAACAAGGTAAACAAGGAACAAGGCAGATAGGGGAATCTCAGAATTATAACAAACATTTTAATGACCCGGAGAACTCGGGGGGGATGAAGTGTGCCACAAAACACATTTGCTGACTAGAAGTGTAGGGGAAAAATGTAGTTTTCTTAAGTTATAGTACAGGAAGGAAAAATAAATCGGCAACTTAAACAACCAAATGTTTATTGAACGACCCATCAACACAGTATGCAGTTTATGGTAAAATGTTCCATCGACTTCTTACTTCATGTATCATCATTACTTCAGGGGAAAAATAGTTAATGGTGATGAGGATTGGTTGTAGTTTCCAGGGAACCATTATGTCACATATTCAGGTTTCACGGAGAACTTGAAGCTGTTACATGTTCTGTTCCACTATTGAACCACTGAAATTTCAAAAGCAAACCCCACAAGCGAGTTTCCAAGTCGGTGCACAAACTGTAAGTGTCATGTATCCATCGTTTGGTAAAACACGACTAATGAATAAATAACTCTCTGAAGGAATCTTTTGGATGAAGTGCACAGAAAACATTACTGTCAAAGATAATCAATAGTATAAAGAAAAAACTCTACAGTGCATCACGTTTTAGAAAAAATAGTACTAGTGCATCACAGTTTTCATGTGGGTCCAGCATTATATGTAAAGAGTGAGGTTCCCAAGGGGCGTTTAATGGCAATTAAGGCAGTCTCTCATTTCATGGCGCGTATAGTCCATGTAGCATCGATGTAATAGCTTCATCAGAAAACCATACTGTATGCAGGTTTAATGATCGGGAGATTCAAGACAATAAAACCGAAATTATTATCATCCATTTTGCCGTATACAGTCTGTGAAACTAGATGCTACCATGTGGGAGAAACATTTATAAAAAAGTGTAGGAGTTTTAACGATGACGGGAAACAAAATAATATCGCAATTATTGCCTCAGGAAGTTATACAATATCGCTTTGGTACTGATATGTATGCAGGTAAATTATTGTGGGTAATGTCAATGACTTGTGGTAATTGTCGAATTCTGTTCAAAATTTAGGTCCAATTAGGACTTTCTTTGTCAGTTTACAAAATTACATATAATGACTATACCGCTGAGAATAAATGTTGAAACAATCAAGACGCCCTTATATGGTATTTGCATAGCATTAATATCTTAAAATATACTACACTTACATTTTTGGATGTTCGAACGTTCAGATGTTATTTCAGATGGCTAATAGTATTAGTTGGCTAGTTTCAGGGAAGATGAATGAGTTGAGTATCGTTGTTTTCTACATATGATTTTCATGAAAAATATTTCGAGAATTGTACATTGAGAAAATGATATGCAGTACAGAAGTTTTACATGGAGAGTTTTAACAAATTACATTCAAAAGAAAACAAGTGGTTGGTCTCCCTGACAACTATCCTGATTCAAATCTAATAAATGTTGGTTTTGTGTTAGTTTGGCATGTAGTATGGTAATAAAACTATAATACATCAGAAATTGTGAATGAGGAATTTTCATTGCTTTTATTGGCTAGTATTCATGATATTTCCTTTTCACATGAATTGTCCCAGCTATCCTACGCTGATGTGAATATAAGGGATTGGGGATGTAGTCAAGGTCATACTTTCTGGGGCTTAATATGGTCTCATCCCATATCCTGTCCATTCTTAAACATTTCGAAAGATGATGATGGCGTAATTTAGTTTATTTTCGTCACAATGTTGATTAATTTCTGCTCGTCATGAAGTTTCTGGTCGAAAGATTGGAAAATGTAGGCAAGGTAATTTTCTTGCATGACATTTTAGTTTGCTCTCATCATTAAGTTCTGATGTCCAGTTTTTACCACTGACCTCTGGTTATCAGGGCTGGACATAAGTAAACAGAGTGGTCACTCAGATTCTGTCTGTTAACCACAGACCCTGGTTATAAATGACCCATCCAGTGATAGACTTGACAAAGAAACCGGGTCACATGACCAACTCTGCCTGCCATATCAGGCATGGCTGCTGCCAGTAGCTGGTGATAAATTTGGTCATCCTGTTCTGATATTAATGACGGAGAGGCTACAGGCTTGCTGGTATCATAAACAAGTGTTACAAAATCGGGGCCAAGGTTTACAGGTGTGAGATTAATAAACGTCACTGGAAATGATAACCTGTAACGAAATTAGAGCAAATCAGACTTGAAAACTGGTGTAGGTGTGATGCTTATAAAGATGTGTCAGAGTGCTTTTAACTTGTTAAGAAATTAGGATCAATTAGTATCAGGATTTGATTAGGAATCATTTGAAGGTATAGGATTCTTAAACAGTGTTAGAATGTATATATAAAATTCATGACGAAGTGTCCGTGGAACCTGCACAACCTTCCTTGGCAAGGAGGGAATATCGATTTGACACTTAGTTTGATATATCGATGACATGAGTATAATAAGGAATTAATATTTTTTCGGGCTGGAAAGGATCGCAGCATCATAGATGTAGATGCAGACAGTGACAAATTGTCACTGATATATTGCAAGCAGGATGTACTATAAAGTGTTCCAACAAAAGCGAGGTATCAATTTGAACAGGACAATAAAAACTCTTCAATCTGTCATCATTCAGACTGTCAGAATTGTGATATCGGTGATATAGATACAGACGATGCCAATATGTCACTAGATAGCGTAGGTGGACAATAAAAACCCATTCATAACTCTGTCATCATTCCATTTGTCATTTTAATTAAAATTAAAGCCTTTGTATTCAATGACTATATCTAGTTTCAATTTTAGTATTGTTGAAAGAGAGTTAGATTTGAATTTTTAATATATTTTCTCACGTGATTGATATCATCCGTTGACAAATGCAAGCAAATTTGATGATTCAGACTCTTACATAATATTCTGTGATTTCCCCACTTTCCCTTTCCAATCAGACAATCTGGAGTAATATAATCTCATTACAATAAAATTATTAAAAAATGCCCATTTCATGTCTTAAATCTACATGTACATTTAAAAATGGAGACAAATTCAGTGTCAGAGTTCAAAATTGTTTGTATCTAAAACCCAGTTAGTTGAGGAATGTTTCTCGTATGAGAAATATCTGTCTAAAAGTCATATTTTGTGATTGAAAGAAAAAATCTATTGAATTATCCAGCTGAAACTGTAGAAATGTGTTTCTCTGGAGCAACTGTTGTTTGTCCCAGTGGGGTGTATGGTTTTACATGGCTTTGAAAATATTTCCATGTCTAACACTGGATGCGGCTTTGTCACCTGTCTTTGTCACCCGTCTGAATAGAAGAGGTGTAACCTGACCGATGACAGCTGTGAAAAGGCAGTGTGGTCACTGTGGCTATGGTCAGTGGTCAGCCTTAGAGATTAATACAGAAATGCAGTGTGTCCAGTGAGTAGCCAGTGGTCACAGACAG